AAGAGCGGTCTTTTCATTGTTTTTCTTTCGACGTAGCTCTTATGTTTTGAATTTTTATTCCCGTTTGTGTATTTACAATCGAGGTGTCGATAGCAACGACGGAATTCCAAAAAACTTCGGAGAAGATAAAGGAAAAACGCTTTTTTACAATTGAATAAAAAAAGAAAAAAAAAAGAATCGCAAGTATATGCAGTTTTACATTTACATGCACCATGAAAAAAAAAAAAAAAGATAAGTATCTACCCGAGAAGTGATAGTGACCGGGACGAATCAAACTAAACATCTTTCATTTTGCGAACGATCGTGTGTCGATTCGTCGATGGAGAGACAAAATACACAAGAAGCATGCATTAAGTATAAGAAATAATGATAATAAATAATAGTAAACTATTGCGTGTTAGGTTTACAGTCTTTTTTGTAGAGAATGAAAGGATGTTAGAGACGGAGAGAAAGAGTGAGCGAGAAAGGGAAAGTATGAAAGGGAGAGAGAGGAAGAGAGAGAGAACGTTAGAGAAAGTTTGAAGGAATAGAAGATGAAGATGGAAAGGGCGTGAACGAGAAAACGAATGATCAAGAAGCAAAACTAACAAGCTAGAAAAAGAACGAGTGAGAGCGAGAATAACAAGGGAAAAGGGGGAGGTAGAATGCGAAAAAGAAAACGTTAATTTCAAGGATTAAACGACGAGAATCGCTAAGAGGAAACAAGAAGCGGTGTCTGGAAGTGTGTGGAAGAGCGAAGGTACAATACCGATGATAAAGAACAAGAAGATGAAAGATGTAAAAGCAAGTACGTCGATGAGACAGTGACTGTGACAGTGACGGTGAGGACGGTGCAGGCAAACGTGCGGCAGAGGGTGAAAAGGCGTGGATTGATTTGTAATCCTGGCCGGCCCTCCCTCCCCCCTCCCCCAGATCGATACAACCCTTTTAACTATTTACTCTCTTTAATATTGCTATGTGTAAGAAGAATAAAACAAATTGGCGAGGGATGTGTCATTTATCGGTAGAGAAAGAAATAGAGAGTGGGATGGGGGTGAGAATTGGAACGAGAGTCGCAAGATGTACACGGAGATAATATAAATGCAGGGTGGCCAATTTTAATCTATCATTGGAAATAGTGGAAAAGTATGTTGGCTAAAAAGAAAATGTTTTCTAGGTCGTTACGGGAGGTGAAGGGGGTTATGGCACCATAAGACATAGGCCGGATATTGCTGGGTGCAGAAGTCAAGATCGTTTACATTTTCTGGAATGGAGTCATATATTTTTTAACACATTGAACGATGCAGTCTGTCAGTTCCTATGAAAAAGAATATTAACTTATTTAAATAAACACAGTCATCCGTTTAGGAGATTGAATTTAAATATTGCAAAATGATACTAAGCTACTGATTTAGTATACTGTACGCAGCATTTTTAGCTGTATAATTCGACTCACTTATAATTTTACTAAAGAATTTTTAGGTTAAGTTTTCATTCCATGTTAATAACAGATTATGATAGTTTTAGAAGCAAGATTACAAGCAAATCGATAATTATGGCAACATCTTTGAACATTTTCTTGTACAATTTCACGAATTTTTCAATAAACTTGTGTACTAGGAAATAGTATAAATTTATCTTTTTGCTCTCTGTCTCAGTTTGTAGAGGATAGATATTTCAGGAAACGTAGATATAACTATACCTATTAATAGAATTATGCAATATTTAAGTTGAAATGTCTCCTAAACTAATAGCTTTTTCGCATAAATAGATTGGTACCGTTTTTATAGAGAATAACGAGCTGCGTCAGTTAATGTATAACCAAATATATGATTCTATTTAAAGAAAACGTAAGTGATTTTTGCCTGACCTTAACATCTTCATTTAGCAACCTCCTGCTTGCTGGCACCTCATGATCTCCCGATATCATAAAAACATTTTCTATCTGAGGTGCGTACTTTTAGAAATATTTCCGATCGTATATTAAAATCTATTACCCTGTGTATAAATATGACATTGGAGCGCGCGTGGCATGCATACAGAACACAAACACGATCGCGCGAAAGTTGAAAGATGGAACTATATACGGAACAAGCATAATTTCAATTTTTTAATCTTTCATTTTGTTTATTTCTGCATCTTGTTTTCTTTTTCTTTTCTTTTTTTAATCATTTTTAAAATGAGACAACTGGCTATTACCTATGTTGTTTCAATTAAATTACGTTTGATGTAGTAGTAAATTGAAGAGAAAACAAAAATTATATATAGCAAACTAGAACGTTGAAATTCGAAGGTGATAAACGAAAATCTCTTTGCCGTACCGTGTAAATGTTTCTCATTCGACTATCGCAGTCTTGTATGAATTATACCAACAGACACCCCCGCAGTCGTACACACACGCGCGCGTGCACATACATACACACACATCTATACACGATACCGCTACCATTTATTATTACTGTAATATTACTGCTACTATTATTACTATAACTGGTTGCTTGTCGATTCGGCTGGCGTCAAGTAGCAACCCAAACTACTATGTAACGATTTTTATTGATAACAAAATAAGGAATAAACATTGAAGTAATAATTGTAATAAAAGGTAACTCCCAGGCGTCGTTGAAATATTCGCATCCGCCTCATGCTTTTAGCTTTTCCTTTTTTGTTTGGAAAAGGAATAATATATACTTTGATCCTTTCATTTTGTGGAATCGTTAATCGTATTGACACCAACGATGCAACGATTATTGCATCACTCGTGTTTTATCGACCGATTCAACGGCCGATAAACACTTTGACTCTTTAAAATGTATACCAGGAGGTAATCGACGTTATGGTTCGGACAAGAAAAGCAGAAATAGAAAGCAAAAGCGGGAGGGATGGGGGGAACGAGTGAGGGTGATGCGTGCGCGTCGTGTCCGCGCGCGCGAGCGTGTTTGTGTGCATGAGTGAGAGAGAGAGAGAGAACGAGGGAGAGCGCGAGCGAGAGGGGTACATTTTGGTCGGTTAAAATTAGATATAACTTTGTAAAGCCGATATACTTGCTCTTAAGATTTTTTTGCATATGTCGACAAAAATCTTCGGAACCGTAACACGATTTAATGTTTAAGAAAATAATAAATTTGTATAAAGCCGTGTAACGAAGCGTTTTGTTTTCATTCATTCAAATACGTACGTAACATAGAAATTATCGTGGAGTTTCTTGCATCACCACCGGATATGGACGCGGTGGCAAATGGTTGATAAAAACCGCATTCTTCCGACCACCAATGTGATTAGATCGCATTTTACGCACGCGCGTAACTTCTCGGTTCTTTCACGCGTTATTTTTATTCCAAGATTTTGCCATTGCCCGAAATTTCATTCGTGTACCCTCTTGAACTACACTTACCTGCGCGCGAAATAGAGATCTAATATTCGTGCGATCATCGATGTCGTATATAGGATATTCCGTTAGTTTTTCATCGTTTTGAAAAGGAGTTCAGGAGTAGAAAGAAAAACGGAAGGAAGGGAATCCTATAAGTTGAATGTCAAAAACGAATATTTATTGAGATAAACGTCATCAAAGTTCTACCACAGTCGTCGAGGACACCATTTTTAATACGAATCGGATATAGTAATTTTTATTTGGCTTCTTCTATTTATTTCTTTTTTTTTTTTCTTTTTGATTTTCCGTTAAATGAAAACGGAAAAATAACACGCACGGAAGGTTTTCATTTATGGTTCTACAATTTGGTTAGTCTTTGATGTTACTTATCTTACTAAACGTTCAATTTCGACACCGTATTCGCCGGCCTTTTTAAATGGTTTTAAGAAGACTGCGAAACGACAAGGCATCTTGCATATATACGTACATGCATATGTATATATAACATCGTTTCATTTCATTTATGAACTGTCATTTAATTTATTGGTAGATTAGAAGATTAAATAAAACTTTTTACAAAATTATCAAGAAAATTTACATAAAAATCGCTCTCGTTTACTCGCATTGATTTTTCTTTTTTTTTTTCTCTTAAAAAACATTACTTCTAATTATCGCGATCGAAATCGCCACTTTTTCATATTTTCTATCGATCAACGCCTTATAACCTACATTTTAGATCGTTTTCGAAATTTATTCGACTCGCTTTGAATAAATAATAAATTCCGGACCTCTCTTCACATACGATTAGAGATCGTCGATGCGTAAACATTCGCGGTGGAAAAAACAATGGATATTAACGACAGCACAGATGCAAAAACGAAGATGTCGGATAATGGTACGTAACTCGAAGGAAAGACTCGGATCTTACTTCACGGGGTACGAAATGTCGATATTAGTACCGAGGCGTCGAGCGCTTGATTCATCGAACGACTTCCCAATCGTGACCACGTGTTTATTGCCATATCGTCTTTTTAGTACCTTGAATTCTTGCTCTTCCACGATAAAACGATAAAGCTATCGAATTTGTACTAAAATTTCCTCCCCGACGCGTTGCCTTTTTTCCGCGCGATTTCTACGTAATCTAAATCGTACAACTACGCGAAGCATATTCACCCGAGTTTGTTTTCGCTTACGACCCGTTTTTTCCCCACTCAGACATTCGCCTGGATCGCTTTCATTTAGGGAACAAAGACTAGAAAAAGATGCGCCCAACGAACCGGTCTTAACATCGTGGCTAATTTAAACAAACGTGGATTGATAATGGCGTATACGAACCACGGATCGTATAATTTCGGTAACTTAACTTGAACATGCACGCATATCTCGAATACACGATCACGTCGGAACGTAAAACGGCATGAAACGTGGAAACATTTCGAAATTATATTTCGTATGTATGTTTGTTAGGATAGTGGAAAAATCAGTATATAACACGGCGTGCGAGTATCGCGTATTTCTTCGTATCTGACGCACATTCGAATCGACGAGGCATCGTCAGCGAGCCGAACGTAATTCGATCTCCGATTGTTGACGTTTTTTTCCAAACACTCGGACTGTTCGTTCCAGCGGGAAGACGAGACCCCCCTCCACTCACTGATTGGTGGCTTAGTGATGCTTGATCTTGGACGCTCAAAGTTTACGGCGTTCGTTAAATTCGTCGCTAAACGTTTCGTTTTCTGCTCTTCTTTTCGCAGGGGGTTCCCAGTATTAGCGGTAATTACACGATACCCGTGTTCGAAGGAAACAACGCCTTTTCTCGATGCTGTTTAAATAGTCGGTAAGAGGGGGAAAGAGAAAGAGAGGGGCGGAGGCAAAGTAGCAGAAGAAAAAGAACATAAGATGGCAAGATCGAAGAAAGTAATCGAACGCGTACACGTGTACGTTTTATACGCGAAATGAGATAGCATGCGCCGCTGTGGCGAAAATTGTTTTACAAACGTTCATTTAATTGGCATTAAGTTTAAGTAGCATTAACCTTTATTAGATTACCTTTTTAAGTTAGAGTCTTATCAGGTAGGTGTGCATGCGTGCCAACGGATGTGCGACAAAGCGGCCAGCGTGCTCTCGAGTTTGCGACTGTAGTAACAGCAACGGTAACAGCAACGGTGGCAGCAGCGGTAGCAGCAGCAGCAATAGCACGCGGCCGATGCATCTCGAATGCCCATCATTCTCACAGTTCTGACGCGATCTTTCGTCGTGCAAAGATCGCGGAACAGTTTCTCTCTATCTTCTTACGTTCCCTTTCACGTATCCTCGCGTTTCGTGATCGTTATTTACAAAAGTCACTATACACTGGTAGCAAGACCGCGCGTTAAACTGATACGATATATCGCGCAGGGGAAAAAAAAGCAATATCGTAACCTACATTACGGCCAAGCGGCATTCGTCATTTCCCTTTTTCAGTTTTCTTCTTGTTTCTTCTTTCCTCTTCCTTCGGATTATAGAGCCTCTTTTAATCATCGGCGCGCGTTCGCGCCGTCGCTATCGTGAACGGTCGAACGATATTAGATGCGGACAAATTAACACTGAAAGGAAAATACATCGAACGAGTCGCGAACCATACAAACAATTTCTAAATTATAATCGCGTTCATGTAAACAACGTGCAACGCAGGCGCATAGTAAAGGCAAAAGTAAAACGTGGTTCTTTTTCTCGACGAATATGATTTCATAGATTCGGTTTACGCGTATTACGAAACAGTTGATGACGGTGACGACGATGACGATGGCGATGACGACGACGACGATAATGACGATGATGATAATGATGATGACGATGACGATGACGATGACGATGAAGATGACGATGTCGACGACGACAACAACGACGACGAAATAATGACGATGATGATAATGATGATGACGATGACGATGACGATGACGATGACGATGAAGATGACGATGTCGACGACGACAACAACGACGACGAATTCGTGTCGTTGGTTGGCACTTGAAATGAGAAAAGGAATTAGGGGAAAGGAAGGAACTGGCGGCTAGATTGTTACATAGAAATTCGCACTAAGGTATATAAAGAATCGAAGTGGGGTCGGCCGAAGGAATACCAAGAAATATCTATACCGTTTGTCTATCTTGGTCGAACTCTCGTCATACCGCGGGACAATCTTTGGCATTCAAGCGATTTTCCATACGATCGATTTCGTCAAGTATCCGAGAGGAGAACGTGCGCTACATCGAATTTCAAATTTCTATTAAATTTGACTTTCGCGAGTTATCGTTATTATCGTCACCATTTGTTTATATTGCTGGCTATATAATCTCGATCCTCGTTTTTTTTATATACGAATAGAGGGTTATCGATAATAGTAAGTGAGTAAGTAAATAAATAATCCAACCGTTAATTCGTGATAACACTAATTACTGTTCCGTAACAATGTATTATCGTGCACATTTTACCGCGCATGTTGGCGTTTTTTTCTCTTTCGCGCATGCGCACAATTTCATTTTGGTGGTAGCATTAGAAGATTAACAATGGTAATAACAATGATCATAACAACAACTCTACAATATGACAATAAATAGCAATAAAATTAATAATATTAATAATAATAATAATAATAATAATAATAATAATAATAATAATAATCACGAAAAAAAAACATAAATAAGAATAATAGCAATAATGATCGCGGTGATGAAAATATTAGTATTAATGGTAATAAAAACAATAAATAAATAACGATGAGGATGATAACGACGATGATAGCGTAAGTGATAATAGTGATGCAATTATAACAAACATATGATCGATACTAACGGTAAAGTGGTAAGAGGAGCAACAACAAAGGCAACGGCAATGGCGACGACGACGAACATGGTGATGATGTAGATGGTAATGGTGATGATGACGATGACGACAACGATGATGACGATGACGACAACGATGATGACGATGACGATGATGATGATGATGATGATGATGAAGGTGATGAAGGTGATGAAGGTGATGACGATGATGACGTCGATGATAATAATGATACAAGTGATTATGTAATAAAAATAATATTTGTATGGTAACGTTGAAACTCGGGAACGTTTCATTCGTATAATTACAAATTGTTCGAATAACAATAAATACGTAGTACAATGTCTTATTTTCTTACATCGCCGTGATTCTGCACGCAATCGTTTCGTACGTTTCCTACGCTCTCCTCTTTCTCTCTATTGCTTGTGCCATAATACGTCAGCTAACGCCATCTATAGTACGTATTAGATACTCGAGTAGTCGAATACTGGATAACATATCCGTTTGAGTGGCAAACAGCGCGATCGCGCTGTTCGCGGATTTCTCGTGTCGAAAAGTGCTAACGACATCTGACCGGCGAATCATGGCGCTCGATCTTTTACGGATACTTAATTTCCCAATTGATATCCCTCGATTCGTGTAAAGCGTTTAAATAACCTATTATAAAAGGAACCAAGCGCTATCACGTCATTTGGTATTTTTCGATACGGATTTGAAAAAGCGCGATCGCGTCGTTTCTTGGCATTTGTCGACGTGATTTCTCCAAAGATCCCCCTGACACTCAAACGGTTATACTTATTACTCATTCTCACACGTCGGATACACAAGGAAGATGGAAAAACGAACGCCTAGGGTGTCCGATATTCGCGACCGTTCGCGATTCGTCGACCGGACGACCAACCACGATGATCGTCGATCGTCGTTGCGTCAATTAGAAAGCCGACTATCGTAATTTTTGGCATTGCTAATCGAACAGCTGCCCGTTCCAATCGACTCATCTAACCTTCCACCCTGATGAGATTATTATGACTTAATCGGTGAACCTCTGTAAAGTAAAAGTTCTGTTCAATCGAAATCCATCCAGCAATTGATAAAGCCGTACAAGTTTGCGATTATCCCACAACTCGAATGCTATTCGACATTTTACCGTTCGAGACACGGAACAGCGTGCACGCGCGTCTCGAAAGCGAACTCTGATCATCTTGCAAAATGTCGCTGGATGTCGTGCTTCTTAACAGATTTCGCTTTTGCGACGAGAGGAAACGAACGTGGTAGAGTAATGGAGGAAACAAAAGAGTCAGCGAACGAACAGTATATATACATATACGTTGCAGCTCGAATTTTTAGGTTAGTATACTCGAACTGTCTGCGCGCAGTTCGATTGAAGGAAGCCGATCCAGAACAAGGAACGACAATTTCCTGACCAATGTCAAACGGAAACGAAATCGACATGATTCGCGCGGTACTTTACGTCACTGCCTCTATTCCGCTTCGCGATTTCAAGCAAAACGCTCAAACGAGCAAACGAGTGGTTGTGCGAGAGGAATGGAATGGAACGGAACGGAACGGAACAAAATGTCATATCGCTATATGACATCGTATTAAACGATAAACGTAACGTAATAACACACACACGTGAGGAGAAATGTAAACGAGAAATAGGAACGAAAGATGTCGAAACGAAACGGAATGGAACGGAACATGAAACGAAAAGAAGCAAAGACGAAAGAGTAAGAAGGAAACAGAGTAAGAGAGAGACAGAGAGCAAGAGGAAGTGAGAAAGAGAAACGAAAGAGGGTCGAAAACGTAAAATACGCAAAAAGATTTACCCACGGATTGACGTATGTAGTTCGTGTTGGACTCGGAGGCCACCGATCGGGTGGAATAAAAGCTCGATGAAATGGACGAAGGAACGCGAACCTTGTCGCTGGTTCTACCACGAAGCGGGACCGAGGCTACTGGACGATGCAGCAGCAAGCACTGTGCGTCAAAGCGCTCGTAGCGACGTGTTGTCGATAATGGTGCTGTTGCCGCGGCGCCTGTCTCTGTCGTTGCTGACTCGTTACCCTACCGCCTAACCTGGGCTATTGGTTCTCCAGTGAATAATGACGTGACCTCTTCCAGAAACCCTTGAAGAATCCTTTTTTTTTTGGCGCGTCCCCGCATTCGGCCGCTGAAACAAAAAGGTCACGCGGCTCTTTCGCCTACACATTTTCCTTCTCCTACCTGTGCTGATACATCGTGTCGCCTACATGCTGCTCGTATTTTCTTACCGAGCAGAACCACCACCCTTCGCCTCCGGGGGAGTTCTGTCGCAACGGGACGGAGTAGAAAAATTGTCGCCTCGAGATCGCATTCGCTATCGAAATTACGCGTGCACGTATGTAAGTATGTAGGTGTACCCATACACCGTATATGTGCGTGTATTTATATTATATATATATACAAATCCTTGCGCCCGTGCAAACCTGGTATTGGAGCGGCGTGCGCACCAGCTGCGTCGTGTAGCCACGTTTTTACTCTCGCTATATGTTAATAGGGGAAGCGTTGGCAATTGGCTGTCGCCTGCATAATAATCGACGGTCTTTCCGGCCTTTCCTTCGAATCGACCGACGTTAAAAGCCAACTACGATCAACGGCGGATACTCTCCTTCCTTCTCCCGATGCACGGTAACGTAACGGAGAAAATTGCTATTCGCGTAAACTGTCATGCCCACAAAACGATCTTTTTACGTTTCTTTATTAGGTTAGGTAAAAGTACGGAAGAAGAAATGGCGGAAGGAAGGAAGGAAGGAAGGAAGGAAGGAAGGAAGGAAGCAAAGGTGGGAGGGACGAGGAAAAAGTTTAGTGAGGAAAGAGGCATATTTCTACGATACCACGAGCCAGAGAAAAGGGATAAAGCGAGCGAGAACGAGAGAACGGTGCGTATGGATCAATACCGATAGTGTGTTGGCTATGTAGCGAGCATAGTAGACGCAAACCGTTGGGTGTGCCTGATCTGTTTCTTTGCATCCCGAACTTCGTAGCGGCATTCGTTGTCGCCGTTGACTAACACAAGTATCTATCCAGATCTTTGTTTAGAATGTGATACACGCAAATTGAATGGAACGCTTGCGTTATGCACTAAACCGTTTTCTCTCTCGCTCTGTTTCTTTTGGTAAGAAGAGATTTTCAAAAATAACCAAAGAGTATTAATAGAACCGCTGTTCGCTGTTGAGACCAGAACAGCGAGGCGAACATTGGTAAGCTGCTGGTGGGAAGGGAATGGATATTTTGGAATGCCATGTGTGTAAGGTTATGTTACGTGTGCAAACGTGTATCTACACGCATACGGTGGTACGATTGGTGCTTATGCGTGCGCACACGTGTGCGCGCACTTCGCTGCCAGCGTTAAGATGAAAAATTTATTAAAAACAAGAAGGATAAGCATCGTCGTGGCATAAAACTTGACCGATGTGAATCGAATGTCGTACCGTATCGCATCATACCCTATCGCGTTTCTATGACTATGAGCATCGTTTGGTGTATTATCATATCTCGTTGTTGGGTCAGCGCTGTTGTCGACGTTCCTGGATACCAAGTTTCTAAATAGATAATTCGCGTATCTATTCGTGCAGTTTACGCAGAAATGCGAGGCGACAATTCCGACTCCGATATACAAAAGTTATCAGAGTATGTTCCATTTGTAGGAAATGTTGTATCTCACTCACAGCGAGAGAAAAATATTGCGACAAATGGAGATAAGCCGTAAAAATAAATAAACTCACCGGCATAAGGGCCACGCGGTGATGCATTATCTTTCCCACTCTTGCTGTCCTTGCTTCCGCTTCCTGTAACAGGTCAACACAAATTTCGTTCTAAGAAGAAGAAAAGGATGTTTTTTTTTTCTCGATTACGCTGTCCAACGTGAAAAACCACAGGCCACTACGAAAAGCTAGCAAAGAATAAATGCGATTAAAGTAAAAAGATGGGGGAAACGCGCGTACGCAGGACAAAACGAGCACCGGATAACTCGAACAGCCTTTGGAAGGTAACCTCTGGTTGGAAGGCGCGTGTTTCCCTTGGAAATTGGCCAAATAAAATCGAGCGGCTGCCGCATGCCAGGTAAGAACACGACACGACACAACGAGGACATACGGCCTGATCCTAGCGAGCTGCATTTCTGGCCAAAGCCGTGTCTTCGATGAATTATAGGTTAGAGTACCCATTAACATCGAGCAAGCGGTACTGGACTAACCAAATGTCGCAGTGCCGATAAATTTACATAATGTTACAACATCGACTATGGTTGATCGTTGGATCAATTTATTATACGATGACGTTTCCTTTTAAGCGACGAAATATTTCGAATAAAAAATATAATAAGCAGTTTAACGGAAGAGAAAGAAAGACAGCAAGGAAGGAGAGGCAAAGAGGGAGAGAGCCAGCCCAAAAGAAGTTTACGTTGTTTTGCGAATTCGATAAATGACAGGCTGATATATCGACACGTAATAAATAGCAGCGCAAACAAACGTACGCGAAATAACGATATGTACGTGCAAATGCTTACGTAGCTTCGCGATACTTCTCTATACGTACTAAAACTACAGTACGTGACAAAATAATAGCACATTCCATGATTTCCAGTGTCCTTCGAGTAACTTCAAAGTCGATATATCTCGGCAAAAAAAATCTGATTATAGATAAAATTTAATTCTACAGTTGATAAAGATATTGAAGAAAGATTACTATTTGGAATATTTTATTAAAAATAGAAAAACTCGATAGTTTTTATTTATTTATTTAATTAGCCCAAGATTATGAGCAGTTTTTGCTACAGAAAATATGTAAGAAGCCTTTGCATTTTTGCAAAATAAAATCTTCGTTGATCCGCTTTCTTTGGCGCCTGTTACCATTTTGTGGCGGCCATTTTTAAACGAGCAGAATTTGTAGAGAGAGATATAAACTGCAGTTAATATTCATCTGCATTATTAAAGACCGGAGACATTGTACGAGTATACATATGCAACATATGCAGACGTTGCATTAGTTGAAGGAACATTGAAAACTACAGGGTGTGCTATTAGTTTGTCGCGTACTGTAGTATACCGAAGTCCTTTGCTTCCTTTCCATCGAGAGTTTATTCGGCCACCAGTAACAACCACCGGTACGTTCGTGACTCTATTTCTGGGTGGGTAATAATAACCTCTCCATATCTTGTTTCAGCGGCTGGCTTCGGATGACAGAACGCGGCTCTCTTCGCGAACAGTTTTAACTTTGTAAAAGACACGGCGATTAGAAATAGTCGAAAATTTGTACAAGAATACGTGTCCTTCTTCGTACCAAGTTCACCTTTCTCTTCGTTCACGACTTCGCCTCTTGTATCCGTGTTATATATCACACGTATGCACGGATGGAGAAGAGACGCTGCATTTTTCTTCATATATACGTGGTATGCCAATTTTAAGTAGAAAAAGTCGCCTTGTATTCCACGAGTCAGATGTACATGGATAATATCGTATAATTCGTGTTTTTCGTAAAAATTTTCTCTTTTGTTTTCACAGATCTTCGGCCGCGACTATCGGTTTGTTATCGCGAGAAAAATTGTAACAATGGCCGCTAGATGGCGATTAATGACAGGGGAATGGCGGACATGGTGTAAAAGAGTAACGCGAGAAACACACGCGTTACCTTCGATCGAGGTCATGGTCGTGTCTAGGGTCCTTATTCAATGCCACGGTTAAGTGTCGCTGCCATTATCTGTCACGTGACACTGCGCACGATAACGAACAAGTTTGGCTTAATAATGGAATTAAAGAAACGCGGCCTTTCGAAATTGAGTAATAGCGTGGAACCAGGGGACCCTAACGATACATTATCTTTGGCTATGTCCAATGAAAATGCATCAGGCGTCGGTTGCAATTCCACGAAATTAACCCGCTGTCGTTGCGAGCCAAAGATAGCGAGAGTGTCCAAGAACAATGACGTGAGCACTTTGACGTTTATGCTGCGAGTGGATTACTCACCTTCGCCAGCCGATCGATAACTTTGTGAAATAACTAAAACACGTTCTCTTGTTCGTTCGTTTATTTTCGTTGCTTTCCTCCGCGGAAGAGTGGCGGAAATTTTTCTATAAATTTTATCTCCAACGAACATGCATACAGGGACCAATGGGATACTTGTATTCGAAAATATTTGAACGCGTAAGAAAATGGAGGGAAATTTTCGTGTATTCGAGTTTGGAAAACTTTGTATTTACGTTTGCAAATTGTCGCTTGGGAAAATCTCGCTCGCCAGAGATAAGACCAAGGGAAGCAAGATTAAGTTTGTTCAAGGACAAGCGGAATCTCTCTTGGCAACATACTGAAACCAGCTGACGTTCTAAATGTCCAAACGTTCACGACTCACAGTCTGGCGCAGCTCTGTCTGACCCATCCTTTTATGCCCCTCCCCCACACGCACACGCGCACGCACACGCACCGGCTAAGCAAGCGTAGGTTCCATACACGCGGATGACAATATGAAAATTCCTAGATGCAATAATAGTTTGGTCCGAGTTCGCGACAGTAATGATCGATATACCGCTGTAACAACGAGTTTCGATGATTGATAAATAAAAATAAAAATTCACCCGAATCTTTCATTGGCAACCCGCATCACGATACGTTGCACGTTTGCGAATGAAAAATAGCGGATCTGTCACGTAACCTAAAACATACGTGTTGGCAGGTAGAGTGACTAAGCGTAACGCTACACCGGTTTTTGGTTGCCGTCGTTCGACATTTCGAGTAAAACGCTAGGCTCACGTCTAGCGGTGTGTTTCAACGATCGAGTTCATTGTCGTAACGAATGCGAAAGAAAGAAGGACGCTAGACAAGGACGAGTTGAATACGCAATGAAATTGCATTAACGACGTCTCGGAACACGCGACAGATCAAGCCCGTCGCACTGGTATATAAATGCCACACGGTATCATCACTGAGAACCCCACTATACGAACTATACGAACAGAGTGCAATGACGTAGGTATAATTAGAAATATCGATATAACGGTAATAGCGTGGTTTCCATGAAAAACGTTCGGTCATTGAGTAGGCAGGCTGCTATGTATGTTTCCTCGTCGACCGAGATTAATCGATTAAACTATTTTTATTGCTTCGAAAACGGTATAAGAACAGCGACGGTGTGAGAGGAGCTAAAAAGGGAGGAGCTAAAGAAGCTGGAGAATGGGCAGCGGGGAAGACAAGATGACGGGAGACGAAGTGGGGAGAAAAGGAAAGAAGAGGGTGAGAAAAGTGATAGTCGGACATTTTCCATTGGGTCGAACGTCTCGCGGCGAACGCAGCTAGACCATGATACAAATCCCGGCTTTGGTAGGGATGGTAGGCATTTGGTTGACTAGGGAGGGTTGCTAGACAGACCAGCAGCAGACGGGAGTAACGATTGCCACCACCCCTGTGCGAGGCGAGCTAGTCACCCCTTCCGTGTCCTTCCGGTTTCCCACACGTCCCTGCTCTGCACCCAACCCGTCCAGAGAGCCGGCCGTTTACTAACCCAACTGAAAACATCCCCTCGCTGGTCAATCGCCTTTCCTACCCTCCGCTATGCCGCCAACTATTTTTTTAACCATTACCGCACCGTTCTTACCGCCCTGCCTGCCTCCACGATAATATTACCGAGATCGACCAACGAATTTTGCGGTCGGTATAGTCGCTACGAAAGCGGAAAGCTAAATAAAGGACAAGCGTTATCTTCTCCGCATGCGCGGAAGCTCTTTTTCAGAGCATCGATACCACCATATTCTATAAATAAATAATCGCTAGTGATAAGAGTCGAAGCACAGGGTCGTGCGCATCCATGTTATTTTCGCGTTCTCTCGCTATTTAGACACTCGAATCCGATGATGACTGAAATAGAAGAAATGCCATGTGTATACGTATATGCATGTATAAAAATAAATTTTGGATAATAATTTTCTACGTGAAATACCACGATCTTTGACTCTAGTCGATCAATTGGAGACGGAGGGAGAAAGAGAGGGAGATAGAATTAGTAAGAGAGAGAAAGAGGGGAGAGAGAGAGAGAGAGAGAGAGAGAGAGAGATAAAGAGAGGCAAGGCAGACTTGTTAATGTCGAACAAGCAACAGTCGAAGAAAGAGGAAAATTCAGTTCGAGCGACGCTATCTCTGCACGGATGAGTATTGATCCGCGGCGCGCCCGTTTTCTCTATCGACACGACCAAATTCTTCTTGGTTTCCGCGATTCATTTACTCGTGCATAATTTAGCATCGTAAGACCCACGAGTATTGACCTGTACGTTTGTTCGTTGCAAAATCGGAATATCGCGGATGAAATATTTCTACGGAACCCGACAGCGACGACAAAGTCGGAAACAGGATCACGAGACGCGGAAAAAGTGTCGCGGCGGTACAAGATGGCACGAGTGAATATTCTTTTTTCCATGTAGTTGAATCGATAACGTGAACGATAACGCGAAAGGACAAGCGTTATTGTTTTTACCGCGAGATATTTCAACGTGAAAATCGCGAGATCGTGCTCCTGCAACGTCGCTAGTTTTCTAGCGAATCTTTAGCATTTACCATTCTTATTATACCGGTTCTTCGACTGCCCTAACCGGCCGGCGCAACGTTGCGCTATTGGAAAAGAGAAGAGCACACACCTTGTCCACGTTACAAGACTCGAGAACAGGTCGATATTGTATATAGCTTATCGCCCACGAGTAAGACAGATTTGAAATTTTGCGCGTTCGAGAATGTTTGATTATGCATAAACAAGTGGAAATCATCGATAATATTTCGTGGAAAGCAGAGTAAAACGAAGCAACGAAAACCGAGTGCCTATGTGAGAATGTAGAGACTAGCCTGCGGCGTGTAACGCGGAGGAGGCCTTGTTCCTCCATCCTTCTTGTCTTGTACGTTCATATTTTCAAGGTCAGTTGATTCGTCCCAACTAGTTGCGAAGCTTTCGCCAGATGGAACCACTGTACGGCTGCAACGTAACACACGTGGCTTACCGGAAACCGAACTTCTTTGTCACGAGGGAAATCCGAATCGAGGACGTTGCCGATATCGTGTTTGCGAAATTAAAATTTTTTACATCGCGACGCTTCGTTCGGACATCTTGAATAAAGATAAAATTCCTTAAAAGAAGAAAAAAGAGACAAGCATTTGGTTTTTTTTCTTTACGTTAAGTACTATGCATCACTGTCGATCCAAGCGATTAAACGTCATACGAAAACACGTGATTTTAGCGTATTCTACTTATGCAGCGGGGATAATAGAACTGCGGGAACCTGTCGAAGCGTTCTACGCAGCATCGACGATAAATTAGGTTAGAATTGTAAAAACACCGATATATACCGATCATTTGCAATTTGTTAGTAGTAGAATAAAAAATGCAATACATACAGTTATATGAAAATATCATCGTGAGAAAGAAACTGATTTTTCAGGAAGATAAAATAAACGAAAATACGAGTTTCTTTCTTACGATAGGACGAGTCATGAAAATTATTATCAAAAGCAAGTTGTTTAAACAAACCATATATAGAAGGAGTAACATAGCAAGAATTAAATTGGTGACACTCAGTGCCACGAAAGGTCACGCAAGAAATAAGTCAGAGAAACTATTGGCGCGTTGTTTTGAAGAGGTTGTTTTACATGGATTCCGAAAACGTGTCAAACCACTGGAAAACTCGATGTAGACGGTTTTTAAAATAACGCCGATAATGTCGTTCACGTATCGAGCGATTTACGGTACACGATCGACGTTGTCTCCGAATTATCGACAGGCAACGACGTCGTTAGGAACAGCGTCACGTGTACCATTGGCGTAGGAATAAAAGTTTCTTTCGTTCAGGACGTTGATGTATAAAATTGCAAATATAAATTCATCGACTGTTATTTTGAAAACCATATTCGCAGCAATGCTCGGTTTGCGGATATGTTTACGTTACGAAACTTTGTTTCATGATCCAACCCATTTCAGTTATATTGCAGAGAAATGTGCAAACATGTAAATTCGTTGAACTCGCGTCACGCGTAATTATAATTTGCATTTCGTCGTTTACATTAACCATGGAGTTACGGATCAGAAAACAGCGATTTGTACGAGGTAAACAGTACTCACAATAAACCGAGTTGGCCTTAGCGAGGGACATCGTGTTTTCTAGAGGCCGGGCGATCGCGGTGGCGTTCACTGGTTCCACGATCGTCGGCTCTTGTAATAGCGCAAATTCCAGCGCTTACCTTTCTTGATGAGCAAGCTAGTGACCCTCCGTAGCGCCTCGCGAGTGCTGGAGGCGGAGCTGTGCTTACTTTGGCCGAAGTATTTGTTCGGTGTGATGTTTGTCGGCAGTGTGAGTGGTTTCCTCTGGTCCCCGGAACCTGCTAGACGTGGGTCGTACGCGTTGTTCAATCGTTCGAGGTGCTCGATCGAAGCCGGTCGTGGTTGATTCGCCTTCCTCGTCGGATACCATCCACGATTAGGGCCACCGGTCAATCGCAATAACTCTGTCCCGATTATCGCCTGCTCCAGACCCGAGTTATTCCTGCGATACCTGTTCACATCGAATATCACCAAATATTTGCTTTTTCAATTCATCCTTTCTTCTTATATTTCTTTTACTTATCTATTCATATATTTATCTAGTTATTTATCTCCTACGTACGCATGTAATCGATCAGCGGTAAATTATGTTCGGATGGGAAATTTTAGCACTTTCCAAGTGCTCAGAAAGCGTTGCAAGTTAGAAATGAATTATTTTAGAGAATGATAATGGAATTTGATTTTATATTTTCTATATTCTTCTTGCCAAGTGAACGGCCATATCTCCGTCAATCAAATAGAGGAGAAACCAATATGCGTAGTCGATGTTACTTTTAAGATAGCATTGTCTTAATCCACGGCAAGCGTATTTCTCGATCGAGAAGAAAATTTGAAAGAAAACTGAAATTTTGTAGTGGTGCCTGAATTTTCACGATGCTGGTAACTTTTTCGAAAATAGGAATTCTTACCCGGTGGTAGCCGTGGTTGGGGCATACCAACCAGGTTGCCGACGCATTTGCGTAGGGTTGCTGGCATGTTGAGGAGTTCTGGGAATATCACTTCCTCTAGCGAAAACAGGAGTTTCCGGTAGCGAGCAAGAAGTTTGCATTCCGCTAGTACCGGTTGCAATGTTACCGGTGGTTCCACCAGTGCTACTGCTACAAGCTCCGTTATTAGCTCCGTTTGCATTGGCACTAGCACTGCAGGCTCCGTTTCCAACAGAGGAGCACGGTTCCGCCGATGGGGAGTGCCTCTTTGTGAACGGTCGTCGTCGCGAAGGTCCAGGTAAATCCGTAGGCAAAGTCCTGCGTTCTACTGGTATTTGCTACGAGACAATAATAAACGTAAGCAATGGATGATCGTTATACTATACACTATATACTATCGTTACGTATAGCTTCATTCGGAAACGTGTTCTGCCTAAACTTAAAACGCACCTCCCGTCTGGAATTGGTGGCAGTAGGTGTTCTTTTACCCCGAGAGAATCCAGCATCCATGGATCTAGTATTGAGAGACGTTTGTTGATCTTTCGAATCTGAGAACGAATTGGTAACAGGTCCACGATGGGGTGGTACCCTAGGTCTGTATTCCATTGTACGATTGCTGTGACTTTTTGGCTTTGGAACGATCACGGCGCTCTGACCGACGTCCGAGCTCTCCTCGTCTGCTTCCTCCACGGGTGAGGGTGGTAAGGGAGGAAACTCGAGGACTTCCACGCTTACCTAAAAATAAAGCACGATCGATCACGATAGGTTTTCTCGACTTTTCCATTTGTCAGTCGTTTAACATTGACGAACAAAAGTTTACCTGAAAGTCCGGATTCTTGGAATCTTCGAGAATCGCGTCAATTACATTCTCAATTTGCTTTTGATCGTTTTTATGCCCTTCGACGCCATTCTGTCGCAATCTTTTCCCCGATGAATAGGCATCCGTTCCATTTGCCCTTCGTCCTTCGACATCCGTCGTCTCAGGACTAGTCTTGGATGTCGTGTCCGAATCGAGATCCGAGTCATGCTGTTGCTGTTGCTTCTTTGATCGAACATCCACAGTGACACCAGTGCTATTATCAAGTAGCTTTCGTTCGTTCGGTTCCTCGAGACTGGTCTTCCTCGTTAATACTTGCTTCGAGTCTTCTCTTCGAGGCCACCGTTGCCTACTTTCTGAGTAAGATTCGCTATTCTTTACGCTTTCGATCTCCTTGATAGCATCGCTTACTTTCTCCAGTTGTCGTCGGTTCTCTTTCAAAGCCTTCTTTACAATCTGATCTTCGATCAACAAGTTTACCGGGATCTTGGACGCCAGCCGATGTTCGTTATTGAGACTGGGATTCGGAGATTTCCTTGCGCCTGGCTCTTCGGTGAACGCGTTTCCGCTAGGTGGTGTCATTGCGAGACTGAAGCCTTTCGAATAGCTGTTAGAGGCTGAAAGAGAAATTCCATTACACGTGCTGTTCGACTCGATATTCCCCTGATTCGACGACATGGATTCGAGTCGGCCTTTCTCAAGCTTCTCGCTCGACAGCGATAACGAGGATGATAATTGAAGCATCTCGAACATTTCCCGAGTCTTCTTATCCTTGTCAGAAAGATCCGAACTTTCTTCCTCTTCCACTGTTACCTCCAACTCTCGTGGCCAATTGTCAGTTTCGTCGTTAATCGCCGGAAGCGAGACTACTCTGACCAGGTCAGGTGGAACGGTTGATACAAATTCCATCGGCGGATCGTCCATGGGTTCGTCCAATTTGTTCTCCCTTAAAAGGCTTCTAATATTGTCAAACGTACTCGAGTATCGTTTCACATCGGATAACCGATTTTCCTCGCTATTCTCGAAGGACAAGCTCTTAGTTTTAGTAGGCGCTTTCGGCAATCCCTTCCTCTCCTTCTTTCGACCGCGACGTATCACGTAGGTACCGTTCTTGGTCAGTTCCTGTGGTCGTATTTGATCTAGTTCGTTGGTTGAGGAATCCGAATACGGGGAGACTAGGTCGTCGTCGGTAGTCGATAATCGTGGATCCTGCCAGTCGTCGAAATCTCGAAGCTTAGACGCCGATCCAACGCCTGGAAATTCAATTGGTAATATCTACGTGCATGAAGTTCGACTCGAAGTTATCAAAACCGAGAACACCACAGCGGACGACTCGTTGGACGTAACCTAATCTTCTTAAAATAAACTAATCCAGAAATCGTAGGAAAACTTGGGTACGAGCAAATCGAGTCGTGACGAAGTGGAAGGATCGAGACGAAGTTAGGAAAATACTTACTGGATACGTCACTGCTTTTACGTCGTCTCCTACCAATCACCTTGGTACTACCCGGAGCGTACAATGGATCGTCTTCCAAGGGTACCTCCCAGGCGATGGAATGCCTCTTGCTGATCGGAGGTGGCGGAGGTAAAAGTTCCTCCAATGAATCATCAGAGAATCGCTCTTCCTCGGACTGAGTTCTAAAGTCTGTCGAGTTCCTAGTCGAAAAATCTGAATTCCTGGTGGAGAACATATCGGAGTAGCGCTCCTCGGAGCATCTGTCCGAGGTTGGTGCCGAGAATCTCTCGTTGGAGTCAGTCCTCGTTGGTAAAGAGAACGAAACAAAATCGAGGTTCCGAATGGAAAATGGATCAGACGTCGGTACAGAGACCCGGTCGTTCGAACTGGCGCTGGCCACCGCTATCGAGAAGTCCGAGTGGAATCTTTCGTTCGAGGTCGAGTTCGCTCTAGAGAAGTCAGATGATCCGCAGGTGGCTCGCATGGAAAACCTCTCGACGCTGACCGAACTCGAGCGTGGAATAGAAGACCTCTCGGACTCGGAGTTCCTCGAGAATCTGCCTTCGCTGGAATCGGAATCGTTCCTCCTTCTGCCGTTCTGTTCCGATTGTTCATGATTCATCAGCAATCGATCTTCCACGCTACTAGACTTCATGATCTCATTGCTCTGACGTTGCTTCCGCAAATGCGATGTCCGATCTTTTTCGAAGCTCTGCCGGTGGCTCTTGCTGTCTCCGTCCAGTCCTTCCTCTTCGGACGATCGACGCCTGACTTCACGATGCTTCTCGACGGTCGTCGGATTGGTTCGTGGCGGGATCCATCCGAACGATACCTTGCCATCGTACGGTAAGCTGGCGAATTTGCTCGGTGGACTCGGAGGTTGAGCCAGTTTCAGAGGCTCGCCATTTCCGTTTTCCCATCCATACGGTCTCTGGTGTCGCGTTTTGGGCTGCGCGAAAATACAATTCACCTATATTGAAATAGAGCAGCCTCGATCTGTGCGATCAAGGCGCAATAGGCGAAAGAATAGATGCGGAGGAACAGGTGGGGTACAGAGTATTTAAGAGGTACATTTACTTGGACGCGTTTCGAAATCGTGATGGGACAAATTTTGGGCGAATACTCACGAGTGTCGTTTGAGTGGTAACCGTGCTACCATTTCCGTGTCGTATGCTATCCTCCATAGCTATCATCCACTGTTGTCGTCCGCTTCGACGAGACGAGGAATGGCTGTTTCTCTTCGAAGAATTTCCAGGTGACACTCTGCGATTACACATACAGCGGTTCTTTTAATACTAATAATAGGTTATCGTTTCATCGAAAATCGTATTAATTGGTGAAGAAATTAGCGAACGTAGCGAAAAAGAAAGAGATATGGATAAAGCCACGATTAAATACGCATGGTCTCAAGCGCCTGTACTTATACACTCGCTTAGGTAAAAGAAGCTCAGTCAAGATAATAGGGAACGATCGAACCGATCGAATCGATGGAGTTTCGTTAGTTCCAGCGCCGACCGCGCGGCGGAGCGATCGATATTCGTAAGAACAGAGGAGAAAGGGAGAAGAGGAAAATCTTTATTTCGCTACGTGGTTATCATCGGTGCTGAACGTTAGTCGCGCATGGCTGTTTCGAGTTTAATCGCGGTTCGTCGTTAGCATCGCAAACGATCAACTTACATAGGCAACAAAGTAGAAATGATTCGTTCAGCTTCTTCAGGCGGTGGCGGAAATTCTTGCGTAGATATACCCGCGAGATCTTGTGGCTCTGGACAGTCTGGAACTGGACGCAGTGCTACCAGGGCCATCTTTGCTTTCCGTCCATTCATACTCATGTAACCGTCGTCCTCGGATTGATGTCCTGTCAAGACATCGTGTATTCTTACCATTCTTAATCTCATCACGATTGCAGAACGATCATGTTCTTCTAAAGATTTCGATATATTACCGTTATCGACAGACTTATTTTTATCTAGTTTTCTCTTTCGAACAACTTCGATTTCATACGATCAAATTCCATTTGTGCATGATTGTTACTCGCTACCTCGATCGTGATCGTTATTTTATTTTCTTTGCTTTGTTCTATGTCAAATCTTGATCTATACGTCGTTTTTATTTTCCTCCTTGTTCCGTCAAAATTGCTCCGCTTTCAGGAGAGCTGCACGAAAAGAAAGTGGCGCGACTCGATGAAACTTTGAAACACGAATCGTGCGTAACATTGATGAAAATACGAAAAAGTTTCGCGATTAGTCGCAATTCGTTTTCTAAGTGCGAATAGCATTTTTCCCTTTATTCCTATTTAGGTAATTTCGCTTGAAAGCATAAGAAATAATAATTATATAGGACAAGGGACACATTAGAAATACATCGTGCGATCAACATAACCTATAACAAATACGATTTCATCCAGATCCGTTAAATCGTCCATCCGGTTGATTTCATGCGACGGCTAAGTAGCGTGAGCGATTGAACGAAAAACGAGGAGAAAAATAAACGAGTGGGAGTATCGATGTTATCGATATAGTGAAAATCGTAGGAACGAAACGTAGGATGGAACGGGAGGGGGCAAGAAATGGGGTAAGGAAAGAGGGGCGGGAAGAGGAGAGGACGGCGCGACATAGAACGGGAGGGGAAAAAGAGAAAAGAGGATAAAAGATACCTAAGGACGGACTTTCGTCATCGGGTGTGAGACCAATACTCGGTTCGGTGCTGCTTCCACAATCCCCGACACCTCCGCCGCTCCCACCTCCACTACCGTCACCGCCACCGCCACTGCCGACGCCGACGCCTCCACCACCTTCGCCCTCTGCTTCGTGCTCGTCGTACTCTGAGAGCACTTTGTCCAGCAGCTCGATCGATCGTTGTACATCGTCACCTCTGGAACAAACGTATCGTTCGATTCTATAGAGATCATGCAGAAGATCCGGTTACCATCCTTCGGTAAACATTCACCGATTACCCGCTCTACCTTTATTAGCAGACCAGTCGATTTTGTCACGCTCTCGCGTGCAATGTTACCATGCGTGACCTGCCGATTGATTTTTCATTGGGAAACGAAGGCGAATCGATCGTGCTACGTCTACGCGACGTGTCCGTCTTTCGGAATAATCGAACATTTAATTAAATTCAACGCCGCATGGCGAGTCTCGAGTATCGAGTGGCGACTGAAAGACATGGGGAAGGAGGGTTAGCGACGCTGACGGAGAGACGTTGCGCCGGTAACGTTGATGTCGATGCCGAGATGGTAGTGGTGATAGTAATGGCAGAGAACGTAACGTCGAGGTTGAGGAGGTCGGCGCTGCGAGCAGGAGAAGGGAAAGGGTAGAGCGTAAAAAGAAGGGGGAGGGGTAAGGCTGGTGGGAGAGCGGAGCGGTGGGGGAACGGGCGGGGAGGGAAGGACGCGTAGAGGTCAGGGGGAGCAAAGAGGAGCGTTGAGGTGGTGGTGGTGGGTGGCGAGAGGAATAGCGAGGAGTAGCGAGGCTGCGGGGGGTGGTTGGCGAGGAAAGTTGCAAGGCGGTACCGACAAACCTACCCGCGCGTACTGACGCAATGCGGTCTTTGGTTGGCCGAGTCGTAATCGCGATTGTTAATTACCACGGAAACACGACCATCGAGAGACTTTGTCGTGGAGATGAATGGAGAAAAAGGAGAAAAAAAAAAAAACCCGCTTATTATTCCAACGAATCATCGATCCATTCGTTTCCTCTTTCATCGAGAATCAAGCGTACACCGCGTCACCGTTCCACGTTTCGTAAAAGAGAAACCAGACGACCGTTTCTTGACCGCTCTTTGATTCTCGTTTAACTTTTTTTATGCCTCCAAACATGGGCTGCTTCGCGTCTTCTATAATGGCGTACAACAGCTATTATATATAGGAGAAACGTCTCGTAATTGCGACACGACGACCTCATCCCTTTTTCCTTCTTTGTCTCGTGCCATCGTCCCTGTTTCCACTTCGTTCGTGGCAGGTCATTATAATTACGAAAAAGCTGTCCGATATCGTCGCGTGTTCGATCGAACGATCGAGTGAAAAGTTGCCGAGGCTCGTACGAATGCAAGAAAAATCGAGATCGCGTGGACAGAATGAAAAATGTCGAAAGAATAAATAAGCACGCGATTCACATTGGAAAGAAAAGGACAGAGAATGGACGCTGAACGGATCGGAGAGAGGACGTTTTTCGAGAGTTTGTCCGAAGCAAAATCTTTTAACGGTGGAACAAAGACCAGAAATCCATTCCCCCTTTCTTTTTCGTCGTTTTTTCCCTCTTCGCTTTTCCTGTCCTCTTCCTTGTTCAGCTTTTCAACGTAACGGTACTAGAACACAGCAGCCCGTCGCCAGACTCGTTAACGTTTTATTCATAATTCAAGATCGTAATTGTTCGAAAGCTGCTGGAATAAAAATCGCGAGTGTATTCCTTCCTTTTCTCTCCCACCAACGATCATCTCGACGGAGGCGCCTCATCGTAACGATCCGAGTAACTCTATGGACCACGAATCGTCCTGTTTTACCAACGAATTACGATTTCCCGTTACCATCAGCATAGCTACGACTTTGCACCTCGCACCCCCGTTATTTTATTACTTTCCGCGACAGTGGATTTTCATCGATCGTTTTTTACCTTCGCCACAGAGCTTCGAATTTCGCCGTAAAATAATCTCGTCGACTTTCTCTGGTTCAAAGAACGCCAAGCCGGTTTAGACACTCAATATTCCTTTCTTTCTCCCGGACTAATGTACGACGAATAGCAGCGTGTCCATGATACGCGTTCCGTGTTTTCATCGATTTTAATTTATTTGTGACAAAAAGTGATACGACCGCACATCGGTTTCAACTTTACTCGCGCGCTGCTCGTATTCAAATATTCCGGGGCAAAAAGTTACGCGAAACTATCTAAACAACTTTCACGGATAACCGTTCCGCTAGCAATCGAGACCGCCATCGACCGTTCCGCGATCTCGCTCGAGATCAATAGCCCCCTGGCGTTCGAACGTGCAAAACAGTCGGCTTCGGTATCATAACGCTCTTGTACTCCTGCTAATTAGACAGATGGCGCTAACGTCGAACGAGATCGTTGGAATCGGGACGCAAAAAGTGAAAAGCAGTCCGACGACCTGAACCCGCCAATTAGCAATGGTACTAGGAAACGATAGAACGGATTTTCTAACTACCTTCCCCGAACGATGAAATTGTGTTTGCAAACAGCGGAATTACACAAAGCCGAGCGAGATGTTTGGTGAGCGTCGCGTCCTCCTCTTCTCGATTGTCAGAAATTCAATGGTAAAAGCACCTCGATTTACGAATGAAACTGGATCCTGGATTACCTTCCAATTAGGATTGTTTACATACACGCTAGATGGCGACTCGTCCCTCTTTCCGACGGAATTCAACGTCGTCGACGCGATTCGCGTGTCCTCTCGTGTCACTAACCTTTCGCGACGAATCAATGCTCAGCTGCGTCATTTAATCGTACTCGCTTCCATTTCGTTTATTCGAGTGGATGCAACTGAAGGAAAATTATTTTTTTCCTCTTTCGCGTTCGTTCCGACGCGTGGGACTGGTTCGAATGGGTCCCAGAAATTACACGTAGAAATGCAAGATCGGAGGGAGAGGGATGAAACGAAGCGAGAGGGAGAGAGACAGAGACACACACGGCATATACCACGGTTATATATCGACGAGCCCGTGCTTCCAAGCCATCTTTCATCGTCTCCTTTGGTCGGTAACTCGGAGAAAGGATAACGATCGTTCTAAATATGCGCGCATATATAAAGTATATACGTATATACGCGTATACGCGAAAAGGTGAAAGCAAAGGCAAAGGAAGCAGAGAAGGGAAGGGCGATTGTTTGCGGAACGTTGTTTCGTTTAATTCGACGAATCGATGAGTATCGAACGGCGCAGCCGTTTTCGGATATGGGTCAGTGGTCGATACGCGTGTCCTGCGTCGCGCACCTATCCTACGCGTCCATAGAGTATATAGGGTATAGAACCGTGTGTGTATAACGATGCGCGTGATAATAAGCGTGCATGCGCATGTACGCGTAGTCCCTGGTGGCGAAATAGCGAGGTCGTAAAATTACTTGAGCGGAAAATTACGGATGTTACGAGCGCTGGAATGACGACTTAAGAGATTTTAGGAGAGATAAAAAGGAGCTTGACTCATCGGCGCCGCGGCGTTAAAAATCAATGCCGGCCAGACACTTTTTCGCTCTTCGAGGTTATGCGAGGTTATGCGAGGTTATGTAGCAGGAAACGGAGGAAACTTTTAAATATTTTAAATATTTCTCACCCTTATCGGACGCTAGCTTTTTACACGTGATTCTCATTAGGTTGTAACTGGTTTCGGTAAATATGCGAAAAATACTGTTCGATCAAGTACTGTTGCCATATGAGAGGTGACTTACAACCGGTAAGGGTTAATATTTTAGATACTTTAAACATTTTAAATATCAAACGGAATTCCTAGCGACCCTTTTACAAGATATATCGAGTTACAGCGGAAAGTTAATCGACGGTCCTTTCCATTTCGCTGTTCGAAACCCTACGGCCCTGAGTGCCCGCGGCATCAATCGGTGCCGCCACTTGATACGATAATTTACGACCTCGTCATTTCACCACCGGGCTCCATATACGGTACAAGTACATATACGCGTGTACTTATGACATAGATGACTACTCGGTGATCGTCTCGTTACCTGATCACCCCAACGTCTCGGGTCGCAGAGGAAAACAATGCAACCGCGATTACAACGTGTCACGATTAGCCAGAAGTTATTCTCTCGTCTATTTACTCTACACTCCATGGTCTCTCTCCTATGCTATACTTCTGCATTATACTCCTGTACTGTACGACTATAGGCTCGCCGAATTTGCCGAAACGAAACGAAACGAAACGAAACGAAACTTTTGATTTACCGAGCCCAGTGCAGTTCTGACACGTACAGCGTCGCTAGTTTGAACACCGGTAATCCATTGGATGGAAAACTAATAGAGTAGAACGATAGTACGGAGCGGGTTCATCGACCTAAATCGCCATATCGATCGATTAAAAGGATGCGCGATGGATGTGCGGTTCTTCGCGAGTATAGCAACATGGGTGGGGTATGGGTGTGTCGGTCATACCTCGGTTTATTACTAATAGTTAGCCCGTTACATCGCTATTACCGGTGCATTTCATTCGGCGGATGCAGAAACGCAATCGAGTGGAATAAGCCGATGATATCGACTCGTCATTCGATCATGGGACCTTCTTCCGATTTAAACGAAAGATCGAAAGATCGAGGAGGAATACCTTCGATCCGTGGATCTAGGCTGGACGCTCCTTGGATCGCGTAACTTTCGATTAATCCGTCGAACGTAATAAGATCGGACCCCTTCCGGCAAACGAGCGAACGACGTTAACGCGTCATCTAATGACTTAATCGCATCCAGACCTAACTCTGTGAAACTCTTCATCGAATTATATGGCTAGACCCGAGGATTACGCCTCTAGCCAGACCTTCGCGACCGTCTTACGCGTATCTTACGTGTTTGTTCGAATCTACACGCTCGATATTCGCCAGCAGTGATCGACGAGGTAGATCAGGTTCGTGGTATACATGTTCCAGGGAAATGTAAGGTTAAAATGTACAGCCGTTCTTCTAACGTGATTAATATCAAACACGAAGCGAGAGCAGGACCGCTACTCCTGGGAGGGCCCTTGTCGTCTGTACCTAATTACGTATACGGCACTGAGGAGGATATATACGAGTTCCGAGGATGGACGTAACATTAACTGCGAAGCTTTCCAGGATAATGCAATTACCAGTGTCTGACAGGATTTTCAGTGCTGTCAATTATCGAATAAAGTGACATCGGCTATACCTAAGTACGTGTACTTCCAGAGGGCGATGAACTTGCTCGGTACACGCTGCCTTCCGCGCTTGCAGCGGATCCAGGTGAAGCCTTCGCGATAAGTCCTTCCAATTTCAACATGCAATTCAGTACGGGAAAGAATTCCAGACCTTTAACGTTTCAGATGCGATATTTCTTAGCCCGTATTCTCGAACGGTTCGATTAAAGCGCACAATTACCGATTGTTGCCTATTATAATAAGACGAAACGATATCAATAGCGGAGGATCCCTTTTCTCCGAGCATTCCTTCCACTCTGAGCTTCGAATCAAAGACTACTCTCCATTCTAGTTTCCCTATCCGCGTGTTCCTTTTTCTGCCTCGATTTCTCCTCGCTCCTCCCATCTTCCTCTTTGTTGTTTCTCTATTTACCCGTCCGAGCTGAAGAATATCCGCGAGTGGATAAATGGTAGACCCGATTTGCAAGACCGACTGCTAACTGACCGAGCATGAAAGAGCCTAACGAGCGGAAACGGACGCGCGTATCCACCTCGGCCATAGATTCTACGCAATATCGGTACGTAGAACGCGACTAGAAAAGTTATTCACCCCGAATCGATCCGGTCGATTGTCGAGCCGATGAAAGCTGCCCTATAAGTAGTTAATTGGTCTGCTGCCGATACAGCTACTCTCCTCCACTCTCTTCCTCGTGCCCATTGCTATGCCCGATCCCGCTTCTATTCTCATTTTCGCTTCTTCTCCAGCAACAGCGGCTGCAGCAATAACTGATAATTAATCCGTCCCGTTGCACCGTCTATCAGTCGAATCGGTAAGAGAGAAAAAGACACCATCCCGTCTCCTTCTCATCCCTAGTTTACCTCTTTTTTCCCCAGATCGGTGCCAGATCGGATCAGGCTAACGATACACGCGTGGCTAAAAGCCGAACAACGAAGCTAGGCAGATTTGGTTATACTAACAGGCCAAACAGGGTGTTGTCTCGGGGACGAGTAATAAGGCGAATGAAGAAGCAAGCGAATTCCGTTATCTCGAAGCACATCCGAGGATCGATAGCAAGTTCGCGTTGCTCGGTTGATCGCAAGACGAAATAACGCTTACGATGCAAACTTCCTTAGACGCGCTTCTCGATTATTCATAATTAGAATCGCGACGGGGCAACCAATCGAGACAGTCTCTGATCAAAGATGCTCGAGCTCGGCAAGACTGGAACCTTCTGTCTTGTTCACCGAGCTCCAAAGGTGGGCGTAGAGTGGCCGATAGAGTAGCGAGTAGAGTGTACATATCGATTTCGCAGTCGGAAGAACTCGCCTATTACTGCCTCCGCTTTGCCATCCAGATTTCTTTGCGCGTTTCGAATCGATCGAAGGCCAATGTCGATGTCAAGCTTCCGCTCTTTCGCTACTCTCCGTTTCGCCTTTCCTCGCTCGATTACCCGTGCCACCTGGTATTTCGATCGAAAAATCGAGAGAAAAGTAAAAGGGCCTCGCTACTTTTTCGTCCTTTCCTTTATACGGAGTCCTACTACTTACTCTGGAGCAGGATTTCTCCAGCGTTGCGTTCCAGTCCACGCCATCGGGCATTGATCGCCCCCGACCTGGAACAAGCAAACGTTCAGTGAGAATTTTTTTCGAGCAGCAAGAGCAGCTATTCGACGTATAACCTTCGAGCATTTCATGGATGAAATGTTGGCGAAAAGTTTGTATTTATATCGTTTACGCGTGCCGCATGCATATCGTATTACGGGATGGGGAAATAGAGAGAGAGAGAGAGGAATTCGCAGTGGTAGATCGGTTAGTTATGAAAATTTTTTGCCAACGCTGCAGAACCAGTCCAAGAGGGACTCGCAGTTTCAGCAGTATTACGACCGCTGCTCTTCAAAACGCGCGGAGGGTACTGCTTTTTCCTCTTCTCTTTTTCGGCCTTCTCTCCTTCTCTCTATCGTCTTCTCTCTCAGGACCCTTTTCTTCCTGCCAGTATCTGTCTCGGTCCGCGATTCTACTTCTACTCTCAACGTTGCTATCATCCCCCACACTCGCCATTCTTTCCACTTCCCCCTTTCAACGTTTCACTTCGCAACTTCCCTCTCTCTCCCACGCCTTGCCCTCCCCTCCGCCGCGCTCCGTCTGCCCCCTTCACCCTGTTCGCTATCCCTTACTCCGCTTCGCCTTCTCCTTCACTCTGTTCCTGACCTTTTCTATTCAACAGACGTGATTGCAGCTTGCATATTTTACGAGACCAGACCTCCGAGCGTATACTCGTCTCTATCCATCCATCCATCCGTCTATCCGCGCTGTACTTGTCTGTTCGTCGACACAACCTAACCTTGCACTTTTCGTTGCACCAAGATTCTGCCCTTCGCATTCACCCCCCTCCCCCCCCGCCCCGATACTCACCGTCGCGATTAACCTTTACCGGTATCGCCAATTTATTTTATTCCAAATATTTTCCATGTAAACTGCTGCGTTTGTTGTGTCTCGTTATTAAACCGCGAAGAACGAGGATTGAGGTTAGGTAGACGAATCGTATCGAGATTAAGATATTCGATCTGCAACGTTTATTTGAATATGATATACGTGGGTAATGACGATAAAAAGACGCGATGGAAATAAATATTAATGTCGACGTTAATTTCAATAGAAATGCGGCTGTATATTTTCGATGACTTTAGGAACGAGAAATCCGAAAGCATTTTCGATATATAATTCTGAGGTTAAAGAATATTTAACGTTCGGAACGATCGAGTGGAGGTTCCGCTCCCACTGGACCGTCTATGGAACTAAGCGACGCGTTCAGAGTGTTCCGTCAGGGGAAATCAAAGGAGCAAAAATTCAGTTGGCCGGTTACGGAGTAACGGTGATATGCCTGGGCCTTGCGATGGTTCGAACTTTGCTTCCGTGCCAAACAATCTTCGATCGATCGACTGTCGTGCGCTGAAAACGGTAACGCTTCGAGAGTAGGAGAGAGAGTGAGAGAGAGAGAGAACTATAGATATCTCGGTTGAAACGCAGGCGAGAACACCCACGATTCTACGTTTTCTAACATTTACCGTTATAGGCAAATTACGACTCTTTACTTGAAAACGTAAACCTCGGAGTAACTCGTAATAGAGCTTTCACAGCGTTTTCATAAATACCGTAATTAGGCTACGCGGATTTTCTCCGAAGCTTCGTCATAATGTGACACATCTCGCTTAATGGATCGTTTTCTCCCCTCCCGACCACAGCGCCATCTCTCTTGTCCTTTCTCATTTATTTCTTCGCTCGATTGGTACTAATGCGATCCGTCGTACTTCGTCGCGATATCGAAATTTTCGAATCATCGTTCTTCCGTGCAATCTCGAGTTGGCCAATTCTTCCAACGTTTCCTAACCTATTATTCATCCGAGTCGAAACGAAGTAAGCAGAAGATGCAAAAAAAAGACTCGGAGAGAGTGTACATTGGTCACGGAAGCGTGACGAATACGGCGTAGATGCAACGATCAACGTCCATAGTCGTGCAAACGAATAAAATCTCTCGATCGCCGCCCTATATTCGCTGGTAATCTAGCAGAGGCTGTCACGCGAAAACACGTTTTGCATGCAAAATCGACGGACCGAATAACCGAGAGAAGCGTTTCAAATTCCCTGACCAGAAGCGACCTCTCACGGGAATCGATATCTGCCGCGAACTAAAGCGATCGATTTCGAAGGAAGCGTTTCGTGCCTTTCGTTCGAATATATACATCGTATATAATATCGCGCCGTGCACGCGAATCGATTTTATCGACAGAGGACGGTAACAAAGGTGTCAAAGATGCTTCGGTTCGAAAGCCGTGAGATTCGTGTTACGATCGAAATTCAGATTCCGCCTCTCTGCGTTCGTGCACACCGATCGAATTCACTCGATCTACCCTTTCGATGTGTCCATTGTGCACGGTACTCTTAACACGGAGTCGTGTTTGTTTAAATAATAAAAATATATCGCTCTGGTTCAAAGAGCTCCAGACATGCTCGTTATTAAGCACTCCCTGTACTCAGCCACCGTGAACGATTGCTTTTTTGTACGAAGAATTTTGCGGTGCTTTTCCAACGCATAAACGAACCGCGAATAATTACGAATGTTATGTAATCATCGCGTGTAATTTCCAATGCAAACTACAACGAAAGCGAAAATAAATCAAATGCGTATTTTATATTTCCCGCGCTGCGTTACACCCACCTGACTCGATTCCTTGTTATTTTACGAACGCGTCCCCGTCCTACTTTATACGCACAGTTACACACGCGAATCATCATTGTCCGTGACACGGCTGCGATATAATACGCGTAACAAAAAATATTTGCAGAAATTATGAACTTCGATTCAAACGCTTTCACATTTCGCGCCAACAAATTTCTGGCAAGCGTGTTTCCGTTTGTGGTTTAGGTTAGAAGCAACTCTCGCACGGCCGGGAGATAGGTGAAGCGTAACGTTACGTAACAGCGTCGATAGAGAAAGTACGAAGGCGAACCGGCGCCCAGAAGATCAAAATTAATCCTCTGGACGAAAAATAGAACGATTTTACACGTTCAGTGGCGACGTCTAGTCGGACGAGTGAAACGAAACGATAAACGAAACGAGTTACAGTTCGCCGTGCTACGAAACAAAGTTTCTTTCTTTAATTCGACGAATTGCCCGAGGCGACCCGCAGCCGGGCCGATTCGTGCCAAGTGTAGACACGGGTTCCAGTGGGGAAGGGGACATTCGTTGTATCGTGTATGCTCGCGTCGCCTTTTTATTGCGTAGCTCTGCCGATTACCCACGCACGCTAAAATCGTCACTGACGTAAAGAAGGTGAGCGGAGAGGGACACCAGCCGAGAAGCAAACCACGAGACCGAACGGAGGAACCGCATTGGTCGATATTTCGTCGCAGATTCTCGTTCGTCGAAAAGATCGAAAACAGAGCAGTCGAGACCGACGATAGGTTAGGTACGGGGCGAGGGGCTGTGTGAAATGCAGGACACAGCGTTCCCACATCTTCCATTCGTTACGTCGTGGTTAGTATACGCGAAAAAGAGAGAGGGCGCAACATCCGCGTTTCACCGTTTCGTACACATAGACACCGCGTTTCTGTACACGTTTCTTCGTCTTCCTCCTACGCTGCCTAAAATCCGTTAATTCTTTGAACGAACGACGCGAAGTGGAATTAAATAAACGGTCGAATCGCCGGTACAGCGGCAGCGTTCTAATCGTCCGACGTGTTTTACGAAATTAAACGAAACCAACTTTTCTACCCGTTCCTACCTTCCTCTCGATTTTCCAGTCTGCGGAAGCACTCGACGCTATTCAAACGTAAGCAAAACTACGATTCTATGTATCGGCTATGTATCGCGTAGCTACCGAAGATTCGCCTACAGAGTGCGCATTCGAGCCTCGTTTCGATGCATGTACAATGTATGCTTGCGGTGCACCGAAACAGCGTTTCCACACGTATACTTCGCAAGAGTCGTAAGCTGGAGAGTTTATTCGTTAAATGCGCGAACACCGTCTGTAGCGTATACATTCAATAAATACGTCTCGGTTGCCTTAGTTAAAAATATTTAATTTTTTATCGTTTTTCCATCGTTATTTCATTTTTCCATCTCTTTCTACCTCTCTGCCAGTGTCCCTTTCACTTCTTCATTTTCGTACGCGTACCTCGTCAACTGTGGATACGTTTACCAACGAATCGTGCCAATTCGATTTCGGTGATAACCTCTCCGAGCAGAAATCGTATTAGCGCAATGGCGTCGTGACTGGGGTTACTTTTATGGAGAAAAATGTACAAACGATATTATATTTTTTTGATAAAAATTTATTCAATTCGACAGCTGCTCAAATAATCCTATTTTTGAAAATTTTTTTTGGCGAAAATTCGGTCCATGTTCATTGTCCGAATTTTTAAATTACGACTACGTAATAACGTAATAACAGAAGCATATTATAAAAGCAGACTCGAGAAACAAAATCGAGACTACAGCTACGGATCTAATTGGAGGTGTAAAAGGGAAGCGGGAAAGTGGAAGCTCGAGGAATAAAATTTGAACAAGAGGATGCTGACTCTAATAATAACTCATGCTTGAAACCATCGTTTCGCGGCACACGTACGTACGTGTGTATATGTATAGGTGTTCCTATCGGTTGGTTGGACCGACCTAATAACCTAATGACAACTGGCTGGCTGTGCAACGTACAAAAATGTCCGCGCGAACGACCGGAAGTCGATTAGCGTCGCCTTAAGTTATTTCTATGACATCGGTTCCGTACCTTAAATGTTCCACGCGATTCTCGTTGCACGATCCATCGTTGCCCCGAAAACGTACACTGCTCTGTAACGTAAACGAAATACCACGGTTAAACGTTATACGAACATATTTGGAGGAAAGCGAACGTAGTATTCCGTTAGCAATTAATATCCAATACACCGTGGAAACCTTTCGATCTACCGTTCCTTCGTTACGAGACACCGAGGAATTTTCTCATGACCATTTGAATTTCAAGACGAATCAGGTGGGATTGATTTAGGGAGAGCGGATGTCTCACGAGACGAACTGTCTTTTTACCGTTAGCAATTAGCCACGTTAATTAAGAAG